GAGTATGAAGATTTCTGTCTTCTGGGTTGTTGCACTGTGTAGTCTGGTCGATGTTAACCAACGTTTCAGAGGTCATACTGCCTCCGTCATTGCCCTGATGACGGAGGCAGTATGACCTCTGAAACGTTGGTTAACATCGACCAGACTACACAGTGCAACAACCCAGAAGACAGAAATCTTCATACTCACCGTTGTGAAAACCTCAAATCTTACTTAATATTAACACTCGTATAGGGTATTACAGGCAAAATGGCATATCATCCACATTGGATGTGCATTTGCAGTTAAAAATTATGCATAGTGGCATATGAAATATTGGTAATTTTGAAGAAGTTTTCCGTATTGTTAAGTTGGTGTATTTCGGAACAAAAAGTAATTGTAGTTGATGTACCTAATGACAGCTGAGTGCAAAGATTAATAAATGTTCGCTTCAACCTATTTAACTACTAAAGGGAAACAAAAATTTAAAAACTGATTGAAATGTTGTTTGTTCCAGCTTTAATAAAATATACAGTAATATAACATAGACTGAAGTTTGTAGACTGCAGCAATCCAGTCTCTTTTCTGTTATGGCTAAACTTGACCTCTGATTATGTTGTGGAAGTATTTCATTTCAGATATTTTGAAAATTATGGTAGCATTTAAGTTATATACATGATAAAGATACTTTATGCATATGTATATTTTCCTTGTCCAAAATGCACAGTAACATATGAAAGTTGATGCTTCTCATGTTAATATGTTGTCCCTTACAAGTCCTTCTCTTTATTTCTTCTTGCTAAGAGACAGTTTAATGGCTAGTTCAAAACACTGTCAAACTCTTTAACTGGATAGTGGTCAGTTTCAAATTTCTATCTTTGTGTCTGAAAGCTTTATTTTGTGCTATATAATTTTACTTATGTATGATTTGAGGTTTTCACAGCTGTGAGTATGAAGATTTCTGGGTTGTTGCGCTGTGTAATCTGGTCGATGTTTACCAACGTTTCAGAGCTCATACTGCCTCCGTCATCAGGGCGATCGTCTGATGACGGAAGCAGTATGAGCTCTGAAACGTTGGTAAACATCTACCAGACTACACAGCGCAACAACCCAGAAGACAGAAATTTTAATTTTACTTACTTAAAACACAGCAGCTTGAAGTAGCATTTTAGAGTGGTAGTAGTAGTTGTAGCATAGTGTTTATTAAATATGAAATCTTTAAGCACTTGGTAGTTTAAAATACTTCTGATGTTGCTTGTATTCTCAGCTTTGTCTTCCAGAAGCTGTTGTTTAAGTTTGAATGGTTCAGGTTTATTGTAAATTATATTTAGTTTAATGAGCTTGCTGTAAACAGTCCCACCTTTCATGTGAATTTATGATGTGTTTCTATGTATAACTTATTTTGTTGTGTTTCTTTGGTTATTAGGTTGTGAGTTCAACTAATGGTGAATTAGCAAATGATGATCCAACAGCTGGGCATTCCAACACTCCCATCACAGCACAAGCAGAGGTTGAAATTGTAGATGAAACAAAGTAAGTTACAGTAGACCTTCATACACCATCAGTGTGAAAGCATTGTGTATAGCTATTTTACAAGCAGCACACTCCATAACTAGAAGACGCAGTATTCAGTGGGTATGTGAGTTTTAACATACATCATAGTACTCAGAGATGCAGATAGAAGACATGGAGAGGGAAGATTTGGTTGTATTACAGATGATTATAGAAGAAGACAATTTGTTTTACACCCTCCAGAAATCATTGATATAAAATTTAGTTCTTTGCAAATATGAGACAATCCCTCATTTTTTAATTAATATAAAAATAAAAGACCTTATATTATGGTTGGGTAAATGCAATACATCCCTTTAAAATATTGGCGTTCTTTTTCAGTTTACTACTACTACTACTACTACTACTATGGCGTAACAGCCCAAAATCGAGCCCTAGCCTCCTCTTTTCAGTTTACTAGTATTCTTCAATTGACAGGTAACAAAGCAAACACTCTACTTAAAATGATACTTTTCTTCTATATTCCTCTGCAGATGTTGTTGTTTTTTCAAACGTAAGAAGAAGAAATCAGGACGTCAGAAATGACTAGCGGTTGTGCAGTGCAGTCCAGAGCGTGAGGCAGTGACATTGCTGCGGGCTACGTCCCATTCCAACTCCAGGGACAGTGTCCTCAACAATCCTAGTAACAGCGAGTTTGCTCGCTACCCTACGCCTGCCAGTGTCACGTGATGAGACAGGGGAGCACCTACACAGCCACCGCCATCATGCCAAGCCTCCCTCCCTCACCTGGTGCACCACTACATATTATAATTATTATATTATACATAATAACTAAGTCTAGTGTGTTGTGGTGGTACAGTATGTTGTATGCATGTATGTATTTGGTACATTTGTGGTGTAAATGGGAAGCGTGAAGGTGGTTGAGTTTACAGAGTTACATTTTTAATGTAGCCAAATGTGAATAGATGATTCTCATGTGGATTGATATGATGACTCACTTGCTTAAATGCATTGAACATTGTGTCAGATGTCATATTAGTTGATTCAATAATTCATGTGTCTGTAATGTTTTGATAGAATGGATGACTGCGAGAATGAATATGTGAAAGTGAATGTTAGGTTCATAGAATTAAAATGACTGATTTCCTCTTTGAATGAACCTTAGTTGGATCATTCATATTTAATGTGGGAGATACTTCTCAATATGGCTTTGTAGATTGGGGGAATATCATCAATCACTTAAAAATGTTGGAACTGGAGGTATCATGCAGAAAGAGACTGGGCCTTCCATAAGGAGAAACTGGTGTGTTTGTGGGGAAATGCTATTGCAAAACAGTGGGCACATGGTGGCGGCCGTTTGGTGTATCATAGATCTACCCACTCTTACCATCATCAGTATTTTATGTGCAGAATTAAATGCCAGAAAATTTCCGTGAGTATCATGCTGTGCTGTTTTATTGATTTTTTAATTAATTTTGATTTGTGGTATCCAAGAAACAAAGGCTAATCATCATTTAAACCAGTCAGACTGATCAGCTCTCCTATTGTTTCTTGATGGAATGGGTTGTGATTTGTTTCTCTTCATTCTTATTCCATCCAAATAAAGCTAACTCAAGAGATTGTAGAAAGAAAAAACATTTCATACATCATTTGAATGTTTGACTTGGATCAGTTCTAAAATATAGTATAGACAACTTTAAAAAGTGGCTAAATAAGTATAACCCAGTAACTGTGATTTTTATCTTACTCCCTGCTGTGTTTTCATTATTGATAAAGGCAAAATGCCAGTGTCAAAAACAACTAGGATATTGACAGAATGTGGCTTATATAATTGTTTTCTGCATGCCATTAGCCAAGTCACATGAGATTGGTTGCTCTATTCCTTGCACTTCACAATAATCTGAGGACCTACAAAACTGTGGCTGTTTGCCCGTTTGTAGTCCAGATCTACTTGTGTTCACATAAATTTAAGTGCAGCTGTTAGCAAATTATTGCAACTTTTTAAGCCTGTCTAAGACAGCTTACAGTTACAGTCTCACTTAGGAACTTTAAATGAACTTGAACAAAGTTTAGAGCAATTTTATGTGGTGATACATACCTTGACTCACAAAATTCGTACTTTGTCAAATCATTAAATTCTTTACTGTGTAACTTGGAAAGTAATAGGATTATAGAATTTTAGCTTCAGTTTTGAATGTCATTTTGACCATGCACTTGATACATGACCATGGCTGGCAGAAATTTGTGTTGTGAATTTTGTAGCCATCTTTGTAAGCAACAGTTTAAATTACAAATTATCGACTTGATTGCATAGTTTAACATAGTGTTTCTTTCATGGACATATATTTTACATTTGAAATTTTATATACAATAGTAGACTTGACACAATTCTGTATGGTCACTGGTATCAGTTGACTTCTGGTAAATTTTCCAGGTTTTCATTGTATGTGGAGTTGTTGCAAACAAGCTGTTTGTTGGTTTAATAGATTGTACTGAGAATTTTGCAGGTCATTAAGTATTTTTTTTGGAGGATTTAAATGTCCAGGATAATGTATGATTTTTAAAAATAAGCAACAAGCTTGGTCAAAGTACATTTTAATTTTTGAAAGACATTAAAGTATGAGTTCCCAAGTAGTGCCTACTTCCATATGGCTGCTAAAAATAAGAAACCATCTTCATATGACAAAAATGTTCCCTAAAGAAGTGACATCTTCTAGTACCAGTCTCCTTAAATATTTGCATACTTTTGTGCATGCTGTTAATTATTCTTTATTTAGAAAATGTGTAGAGGTCAGAATAAAAAAGAAAGTTTATTTATGTTGAGTCAGAGGCTGAAGCAATAAGTAGTCTGCTAGTTCTAACTGGAGAAAAACTGAGAAGTGCTTACTGACAAATTTCTATGTTTCAATTTTAATGTACATATATTTCTACCCTTTTAAATATTTGACTGAAGTAGGTGTTCTACTGAATTTATGTCTTATCGAGCCAGATTGACATAAAGCATGATTTTAATATATCTTAATGATGTGTGACTTTCATTTGAGGTATGAATTAGGTATTTATGTTGTTTTCATTTATTTTTATTTTATCTTTTATTTCAGAGCTTTAGAGTATTCAGTATCAAATAATTACTTCATGTCCACAAGAGTCTGACCTCAGCACATGTTATTACAGTGAATTTAGTTTGTATGGTGTAAAAAAAATTACTTTTGTAATGCTATGGAAAGAAATGCTTGGAGTTGTGTATTTGCTTTTTTCTGCAATATATTTTAATCAGTCCATAAATTATGAAAGACAGAATAACTTTGATAGCATATTGTAATATCCTCTTCTAATCAAAGTAATACATTCTTAGTCATGAATACAACAGGTTTCTACAAAGGGTTCAAATTGCATTCTCCATGTATCCAGTCAGGGAAGTAGTCAAAATTACAAATAAATCCAGTGCTTTATTTGTGTATTATATAATGCCAACCTCATTATAATCAAATGATACTTTTCTTAATATGATTTTTTAATTTATGAAGATTTTGGTATGAGAAAGTCCGAGTTGCATAATTGTGCTGAAGTTACATTTACATTCATGTTCTTTGAAAATTGTCAGAGTAATGAAAATATCAGGAATTGTTCCAGCTCTTTGAGCGCTTGTGCTCCCCCCTCTCCGTGTTTCATTTTTGCTATTCTTTGTATGTTCTTATCAACCATTTACCCCTTTTGTCATTAAGCATAAAATAGAGGACTTGAAGGAATATTACCCACTTCTCTACAGAATTTGGAATTTGCCTTGTAAGCATATTCACTGTTTTGAGTACAATAATTCAAATATTGTGGAACTTGCTTGATATTGCAAGTGAGAAATTTGGTGAGTTTCACATATATTATTCTATTATAGTGTTCATTACTGTGTAATCATGCATCAAACATTAGGTGTTAAGTTAGAATTCTGTATGACATAACCAAGTAGTGTTATTTATAATTCACTGATCTCTGATAAGTTCACCAAACAAATATTACTGTACCTTGCTGATGTATGAGTCATGCATTGAAGACAAAATTTTGGAGTTTCGTGTAACGTAAAATGTTGTCCATACATATAGCACCACATAATCTTCACCAGCTCCTTACCTTGGCACCGTATGAAGATGAGTGACTGGTCGATCTTCACATTGAGCTGTCCATACCCTGGATAAAATTACTGTACCTGTTGCATAACAGACTGGTATGCCCCACAGCCGTTGCTTGTAAGAAGGTAAGCGAAAACTTTCAGAATTCCAGTTAACTTAAACAACTAGACAGTGACTAATTAATTTTTCCTTTTCACTCCTACGTGAAGCATAGGGCCTCTCTTTTAAAAGGTTTCAGGAATCTGTTAGACATTTGGTAGGACTCCTTGGATGAGTGATCTGTCTGTTGCAAGGCCTCTACCTATACACAGGACAGCACAACACAGAAAGATGTGGCAAACATCCATGCCTTTTGTGGAATTCTAACCCACGGTCCCAGTGTCCGAGCGCACAAGGCCTATGCCTCAGATCGCATGGACACTATGACCAGCAGACAGTGATATGCCAAAGGAAATATTCACTTCATTAATTGGCTATATTTCATCACAAGGTAAAAGACTTGAAGACAGACACCAGTCTCTTGTTATATGATAAAGTTCAGAAATTGAAGGAAAATTAATTAGATTTGCAGTTAGTTTCTGCCTGAAATACAACACGACGTTTCTCCATCACAAAGATCAGATGGTTCAAGCTGTTAGGTAAATTAGTGATATTTATTCTAAGAGCCACTTGAAACCTGTAGGTACACTGTGGGCTTTAATATATTAATAAAAAGCTACTCTACAGTAGTTTGTGCGCATACGGACATACTTCCACAGTCTACTTTTAACTCATTAGCATACAATTTTTCTCATTTTACTGTGACAAAAATGACTATTTTGACAACATTGAAGTTATTTCCATCGTTCTTCCAGAGAACAGCAAGCAAAAAGGTTGTTTTCCTCTCAATTTTCAACACATTTCCTTCTGTATAATGGAATTAGCATGTACAACATTTTAATGGTTTCTTTGTATTAGAAGATAGTATTGAAGCTGGTTACTTGTAATCCTTTCAGGTCACTTGGGTTAAATTCAAATTCAGACAAAACCCACATAAAGTTTGAAATTCGGTGTTATTTGCACCTGTGCATATGAAAAGTATATGGATGCTATACAAGCAGTTGGAATTACATTTGTGCATGTGGTATGCAATGAAGTGCCTGCAGAATTGTTAAAAATTTTATTTTCAAAGGAATGAAATTATATATTATGTTTCACACATTCCAAAGAGGTTGTGAACATTGTTGGTTATTTAAAATGTTTTGCAACAACTCCTAATGTTTTAACTGGAAGTAATGTGGATGACCTATGTCATGTTAACCATGTTATTGTAAGGCTACCATTATGTTCAGTTATATTAACAGTTCCTCTCAGCCTTAATCTGTGGTAGACATTTCCCACAATTACAAAGTGGTTTTATATATACCTGCAAATCTTGTGAAGCCACTATAGTAATGTAAATGATATATAGTCCATACTGTTAATGTAGTTTTTAAAAGCTGCAACATATGGTTTTTAAAGTAAAAGTACAACCAGTTTTTTTGTTGTGGGTAGTGTTCATAGTGCCTGTGCTGTCAAGTCAAAAGAAGTATCATTACATTTTTAGTATGGTGCAATGCCATCAGGCACAGGAATGCAAGATGAAAGGTTTATGAAACCAGTGACATATTGTTTTAAATTTAGATATCTGCCCTGGAATACAAAATCTGTGAATGTATGAACTTTATGGCACTAATGTAAAAGGGACATCATATTTGAGAGGAGATTTGTTGCTGGAGTCAGCAGGCATAGTGTTTGGTGAAAATGGGATACTTATATAAATCATAGGGTGTTTGGGTTTGCTTAAAAAAACAACTATAAATTAATGAATACTGTTCTTTTAATGGAGAAGATCCACAGTATATTTCTGCCACATTATCAAGATGTATTGGTTTGTAAACCTTTCCAAATTGTATTTTCTAGACGTGGTTTGACTCGATTACGTGTGATCAGAAATTAAAAACTATATATGGTTTCTTCAGCGTGAATGGACAAAAACCACTGTGATAAATTATGTAACACTTGTTCTAATGGGATTGATCTAGCTTCCATCTTTGTACATAGTGATCCCTGTGAATGAGATGGGATTATATTCCAAGAATTGTGGCAGCCAAAGTGATGAATTTACTTTAGTGCATCTTCTAAGTCTGTGACAGTTCATACATGTCAATTTATGCATCATTTGTAGACTGAAGTATGTACATTGTTGCAGCTGCCAAAGGGAGGAAAATGTATGATGTCATTCATGAAAATATATTTAACAGCATATGTTACAATATGAGGAATGCTGTACTTTCAAGAGAAGAAGCAATGCCCAACCAATTTTGGTAATATGCTCTCTCTATTTGATATGGGATGGTTTAATTTGCCAATCATGGAAGGCATATTGCTATGTTAAAAACATTAATATAACTTTGTGATGATTTGCAAATATACTGTAATGTTTTAGTGAGGTTTTGTTTGTCTGTTTACTATCTTGTCTTTTCATTCAACATAAGCTGAGACAAAATGGAATGAAGTGAATGGTATTTTTAAGTATTAAGATTGCATCCAAAGTGTGTGAAGTTGATTATTTAAGAAAACTCTATAATGTATATATTAATGAGCACACTGTTCTTATAATTGTTTTGTGGCAATATAAATATTTCTTAAGTTCTACAATCGGCTCTCAGATTACTGGTGAAGAAAGATGGGTCCAATGTTTTAGATATGCTTAATTAGATACATAATTGTATCTTTTTTTAGCCCATTGTTGCCAATTGCCATATTGACTGTCATCAATTCTTCCCCCTTGTGTGTGCATTGTGAGAACTGCTTTTATAGTGAGAAAGCCCGTAGGAATTTCCATGTAAAATATTGTTTCCAAAATGAGAAAAATAAAACACTAAAATGTTAATATGATACTCAAATTGTGATGAATTCATTGGACATCAACTTCAAACTGTTCTTGATCTCACAATTTGGATATATAAAATGAGGGGTTTCAAATAAATCATTCACATCCGACCATTTATTAAAAATGAAACACAATTACATGACATACATGTTGGGGCAAATGACTAAAGGTGATACAGCTTGAATGAAAGTGCAGGTAAAATTGATTAGCAGTAATTGCATTATACATGTATATATAAACTGCAGAACCCATATACAACAGAAAAACACTCGACCATGTGAAGTTTATTCAACAAATTCCCATAAAACAAAAATCTACTACTACATTAAATCAACTATTTCACTGCAACTACAAAGGACACAATGATTCCACATCCTGCACAATCTATTCACTACTTATCTCAAATATAGCATTACTCTACTTTTAAAGGGAAGTCTGTTGGCCAGCCTTCTACTATGCTTCTACAAGCATTCAAACAAGGAACATCAATAGAAATTCCCTATCTGGAGAACAAATTTTCAATGCTTTCATTTGCCCAAACAGAAATTATGCCTTCTTATCATATAAACAGCTTAAGCATTTTGTTACACTGGGTGAGGAAGTTCCATAGTGATATAATTTGTTACAGCTGACATTAATTCTCATCCATAATGGCAAATGAAATGAATACTGAAACCCTCACTTTGCAAACTGAAACTAAAAGCACCCGAAATAAGGTGTCTTGTTTTGGATGCACATAGTTATTGTTCTTTAGGTACTTGGAGCACCACTGTTCTCATCCCGCCAGCATCTGAAATGTTAACCATCATCTCCTCTCCCATTGCCTTCTCAATCATGCTACTGACACGACTATCTCCAGGTGTTGGCGGTGGTGGCCAGATTTCGTCTGATGGTGGTATAATGTAGTCTTTGCCTGAAGACAGCAGTGATGGCTTGATATCCTCCACTTTATCATCTATACGAGAGCGCTTTAGTGGTGGAGGTTCATAATCATGGTCACCCACCAGAGGATTGTTGAAGTGCAGAAGTTCAGCCATATCAGATATGAACTTTGCTTCATCATCCTGATCCACACTCTTCATGCTGTCATCCTCAGTGACTGGTGACTTAGCAAATTCTAACAGGTTTCTTGAACGGCCTGTGGAGAATACAACGATGTATTTTTAAAACATCCTGATAAACAATGTTATATATCCATTTATGAAGCTTAAATTAACTTTTAAGTAGGTCAAACAAAAAAGAAAACCAGTTTTATAAAATTAGAAACTGGTTTTGTCAAAATATGCTGCTGTTTTAAATTGGAGCTCATACACAGTCACATGAAAGAATGTTGTATGCCAACAGTCCTGAGACATTTACATCCAACCCACATCTCAATGCTAAACTTTCTCTATTGCTTACATCATACTAAAGAATCCATGCAATTCTGAGGATCCCTGTGACATGGCATAAATTTCTAGCATTTTACAATGTGTGGATGTTAGTCTCCCAACATAAACCGCAGGTAGCTGTCAACATCACTGACTTCAGCTTGTCAAGTAGCATCTTACTGTAATATGTCTTGTTGGTGATCACACCCCATTCAAGAGAATGCATAAGGACTGGTCCTTAGCAATCCAACAAAATTGTTAGCATTTCTTTTCTTTAACAGGGGACATCAGGCATTTCCATTCTGGTATTTGCTGTCCAGCTTATAATGGTGGAACCATATTTCATCACACCAGCTGAAAAGGCAGTTACTGATGCCCAAACATTTACTTTTTCCACGAGTTATTTCAGAGCCCATCTTGCACATTCAGTTGATAAAAGAAAGAGTATTTCTTGAGTCTTACCTGCAAGAGGTGTCATTTTATCTTCTGGTTGTGACAGGTCTTGATCCTTCTGACTGTCAGAGTTTGAGGGTGAACTCTGATTCAGTCGCAAATTGGGCGCCATTACGAGGGCCATGGAAAGCAGAAGCACCATGAGGCAAGTGGCAGGTTGTGCTGTTTTTGCCGTTCCACGGGCCAACACAGACTGTAGTTTCTTGAGCTGTGTTGCCAGAGTTTGGTTTTGTGTCTGCAGAGCTTTGATACGTTTCACTAAATGTAGATTTTCTTCAGTGCACTGTTTTACCCTAAAATAACATAATTAAGTGAGACTAAAATATTTAGTGGTGGTATAATTACAGAGAAAGTGTGAGAAGTGAAAATAAGCAACCCCTTATGATTTTATCTACTTCAGACTCAGGCTCCAAATTGATCAAAACTGTCAGGATGGGAAACCAAAGTTACAGCAGACAAACTTCATAGCAATCACACATAAAATTCCAAAGAGGGAAATATTTGGGAATTTTGTTCCCCTTATTTCATGCTGAACTTCGTTTATATTTGTTTGTGTTGTTCTCAGACATTCTCAAATTAGTTTTACATCTGCTGACTTTGGCATCATGTCATGTTTTTATATTTACTTTTATCCGTATGTATTTATATTCTCACCCAACAAATTAACATTACCATAAACAGGTAGCAACCTTTGGCAATTTCACTTCTAGCAGTTCCTTTTTCTTTGGCTATTCCTAATTGAATATTCTAGAGCACATTAAAAACCATCTGAGATAATGCCAAGTTAACATATAAACTAAATAAGACATAGCTTAAGGCCTCATAATATTAGAGTTCTAAAGAAATAAGTGAAATGTGTATTATTATGTAATTATCTTTTAGCTTATCAGCTAAATGCTTCATACACTCCTTGACACTCAAATGTATACAGCCACACATTTCTAATATCAAAGTATTTAATCATGTTGCATGTGTAACATTTTCATATTCCTTATTCAGCAAACGGTACTCTAACTTGTTACTGCTAATGCTGATTTTGTTACTATTTACTTGTTTATTCATCATATCAGTAGGTTAAAATATATACAGAGATCTGAATATTGAATCAATCATAACCAATATCAAATAGAATGAACAGCACATAAAACTACCCATATTAAAAACATGGTTTACCAAGGCTGTAGCATTTAACTGTTTCTGTTCAAACATATCAAAATTAATATGAGCTAAATTTATAAGAATCTGTACTTGTTTCAACATAGTAATATCCTGTTAGTTTTTCTTTTTCCTCCAAAGTTACAAATCTCTATATCCCCTGAAAAAAAATTAATGCACACTTGTAACACTTTCACTATGAGTACTGTGTACGAGATTTTTACCGTTCTTCCAAGCCATCTATGTATTCCTTCTTCCTCTTGCGAGAGTCCTGTGCTGATATCTTGTTACGAATTTTTCTTCTGATCCTTTTAAGCTCACGCTCTTCATGCTTTGTGAGAGGATAATGGGAAGGCAGTCTGACACCTTCTTTTTGTAGGAGTCTCTTTTCTTCAGCTATAAAGGAACAGTTTCAACAACAATTATTGTATGTTAAGCATAAAAAATGGTTTCATGTGGTCATGCAAATTATAACGCTGTCCAAAACAGCTCTGGGGCCCACCCAGCCTCCTATCCAATGAGTAACAGGGTTCTTTCCTGCTTGTAAAGTGTGGCCGAGGTGTGACACTGACTACTTACCCCCATCTAGTGCTGAGGTTAAAAATGAGCTGGAGCTATAGCTCCACTCTCCCCTAAGTGCCAACATAGTATATAGTGGGACATTTACTTTTTATACTGTGCAGTGTTTTTGGAATTTCACAGGTATTTTACATTTCTGTAGGTTCAGATTGGTTTTAAAAGAACTGTAAGAAACATTGTTTTGGAAGACAACTTACCTACTGCTTCTTGATAGATTATATTATAAGGTTATGCTTAGAACAAAGAAGATTAATGACATTTTATGTAACATATAAGGAATTTTATAAAGTACAGGAAAATAGTAGCTTTCTTTTTCTACAGTATTCTGTATGAGTCACAACAGAATGAAATGTTGTGACATTTATATAACAGCTATTATCTTCATGTGACTTTCAATCACATATTCAAGAATGTTTGTATAAACTTTCAGACCAAACCTCATCAAAGAGAATGACAATCATATGCACAATACTTTTCCAGAAATCTTTTGAAAATCTACAAAAATATGTGAAGCTCCAACAGGAAGACCCAATTCATAACATATTAAACCACCTTGATACTTTTCCAAAAGCTGAAATACCTCGAAGTTATGACATCAATCTTACATGTTAACTGGAGCCTTGGATACTGTGAATCTGAGTCATCGCATGTTTCTTCTGACATGCTTCCTTTAGAAGAACTGGTGCTCATGATGTCATCTTGTGGAGCAGTACTCTTGACAAGAATTGGTTTGGTTTGTAAAGCTGCTCTGTTACCAGTTGTAACATGCATTCCAGCTACAGATTTCTGTCTTCTTGTGACATTTTGGTGAGATGCATTGATGATTTTAATTGCTTTGATGTCCTTCATGTCCTTGAGACTTAGTGGCAAGAGAATGGATCGAGGATTGCCAGACACCGGTGTGACATGGATCAATTGGCGTAAAGGAGTACTGGTGGTCTTGAGATGTCTGTTTTGGAAGTTATGTGTTGCAGTTTCACTTTGCTGTGGTGAAGACAACACATCTGCAAAGGACACATTGTATGTACAACTGACATGTTAATACTAATAACCACTTAATTCTCATTCCTTCAAGGAAAAAAAATTATACACCTACTCATACTAATAATGGCTTGGTTGTCTTCTACTTTGAGGATACTGAAAACTGAAGAATCTATTTCAACATCCTCCTGTACTGAGGTCTCATGGTCACTGTATACATGAGATGCCTCCAATGAAGAATCTATTTCAACATCCTCTTGTACTGAGGTCTCATGGTCACTGTATACATGAGATGCCTCCAATGGACTACCTTCACTACCACTGGACAAGGAAGACAACAGATCTCCTCTATCATCATCTTCAACCTCATATAACATGGGTGACAGCTGTTGGTCACTTGAGACACCACTGTCAGAGCAACTACTGGCAGATGCTGGTATATCTGCTTCCACTGTACATGCAGCAGACAGAAGCTCGCTATCATCCAATATTTCGAATGGGTGGTTCTCAAATTTTAGAATGGAATCCAAGAACTCATCTGGATTTGTTGGCCAGCCTTCTGTCTACAGAAACAAACGAGAAAAATCTTAATTCTGATAACATTCAAACAAATTTCAATTTTTCACAGGAAAGTTAACTTACAATCATTGCTTCAATATCTTTCTGATCACTTCTGCTAACTGAATCTTTATCCGAGATGAGAATCGGATCTTCTCTGTCGACTAAAAAATCCATCAAACTTAAGTCTGTAGGCACTGACATTGTCCCACTTCTTCAGCAATACGTACTGATAAGTGTTAAAACTTTTATAATGGTTACGAAGTTATACAGACGCGCGGCTATAAAATCCAATAAACTGTCTAGCACACTTATTACAATCACATGAATTATGGAAAGTGCGATTTCTTGTACATCATGCGCCCGGACATGTCGCAGGCTACAACGGCATCTCATTAACACCGTACCATCACCGCCTGCATACGTCTCACAACGATGTCAAGTACTACCCTTACGCCTTACGAGCTCAATGAGAAATGCTAAAGCCGTAACAACATTCGTATTTTGCATTTGCGATAAAGAATATGGTTTTATTTGGATGTGTTGAAACACTTATTCTTGAAGAATATGTAAAAACTGTTATACACTAAACAAATGTTTACAAAATATGTTACTCAAATTACTTCGCACTTCAAGTGACTTCCAACGTGGAAATAATCACGTCATACACGTTCGTCCACTTGCAATAATCTCATTGGCTGGCCACAGTGTGTGTTTTACATCAAAGTGTAAAGTAACGAACATTCAATGGGTTATTACCATTGATCTATTTTATAGTATTCATGAATGTGTTCTACTCGCCAAGGGCTACCAATGTAGGTACAAAACAGTGCCGTTGTCTTTGACGAGCCTGTATGCAGCGTTTCTTATTTTAACATTTTTATAGTAAACAACGTTTTGGTCACCAAGGAGTCTTTTCCCTTGAGGATTCCAAGACAAGGGTAGGAGCCCCGAGATGTAATGTTTATATGATGGTAAGAATTTCTATTGTGGGCTTCAGACCACACGGTATCATAATCCAGATGCCCACAATGCAGAAATCAGTGGTTTTCTGGTTGTTTCTTCAGTCTCTGTGTATGTGATAACGCCACAAACATTTTAATATTCTGTTGAAGGGGAAAGTACCCGAAAATTATTGTGACGAGATGCAAATTATGAATTTTTCATTTGAATAATTCGTGTGATAAATTTACTTGCAATCTTCCGGTGACCCGAATAATGTTAGCATGCTGGTAGGACGTCTAAATAGTGTTGTAACTGTCGTAAATTGAATTATCCATAACAAAAATTAAGTAAGCAGCGAAATCGCTGAAAGTAAACCAAAAGAGGATAACGAGGTTGGTACTGCTGATTCACAGCGAGTCAAGGCAATATGGCAGTTTTGTATTGTGCGGTTTTGTGTTGATACATGTGAAAGTTGTGCCGTACTTTCATAATGAAGTTATTCGTAATGAAATAAACGCGCAGTATGAAAGTTAAAAATAATCTATCAATTAATATGAAGCAAGGCAAAAAGGTGATTGTAATTTATAAACAACAGCTAGTGTGGTTTTTCAACAGTCAACATGGTATCCACGTGTTGAATTAATCTTCCTTGGTTATGTAATGACGCTGCTGTAACTGCACAAGATATATGATGTCGAACATTGCGTTTATTGTTATAAGAGATTTTAGTCAGATTCATGGAAATCTAGTAGCATCCCTTAATATTTTGAAGCCCTAATTTAATTTGCCTTTTTATTAGTAACAGCATTTCCACATTTAGAAGACTTTTCTTTGAAGACACTTCAGATTAATTGAATTATGTTCATGAAATGGTTTTGTGACAAAACTTTGTTAGGTTTGAGGCATGTGTGGTTGTCTAATGGAGACTTGGAAAGTGGTTACCTTGCTGTCTTAATAACTGTTTGAATAGAAAACATAAACATTGCGGTCTGAATTGAGAAATGTTTCTCTAAATTTCTCTGCCTGCTAGTTGTGCTTACTGTGAGGTTTTATTGTGAAGAATGAAACTGCTTTTAGATTTCCCATTGGACAACCACGGTTCTGGAGAATCTGACGTAAATATGTCTCTGTAATGTAATGTAATAATTCTTATATAAGATAAGTACTTGCGATATTCTAAAACGTGTTTAACAGCACAAAATTATCTAGTCTACGATGCACTTCTTCTACAAGCGATTCACAGCTCAGCTCTTTCCGCAATAACGAAAGCGGATTGTTGACGGTAGTAATGTGACAACAATGCTGAGTAAACAGATGGCGTTTCCTAGGTAACATAACAATGCACGCAAGCTGACCATTGTTGTCGGTCCATATTTACACATTGTTGATATGGATCTTACACATTTTCATTCCACGTTTTCCTTTAACTTTTTTGCCGAATGACCCTTCCGTATAGACGTATTTACGTCAAAAAAACTTAAATCGATATCAGTGGTCTATTCAATCCATGGTGGAGACAGAGGCCTTGAGTTTTGGCTTTGAATTATAGGGACTCCAGTGCCTGATTGCCTCTCAGCATAGCCCCTTTCTTCTGTGACCCCCATTTCCTGTTGTTTCTAAAGTCATCCCTGAGTAGCTAAACTCAGTTATTGTTTCAGTATATTTGCCCTGTAGGTTCTAAACCCAAACTTCTTCAACCTTCCTTCTGTTGCAAAAAGTAGTTACAGTGGAACCTCGATATACTGCACCCAGCCTCCTCTACAATGGGTACTGGGGTCCTTTCCGGGAGGTAAAGCCGGCCAGGGGGTGATGCTGACCACTCACCCCCATCTAGTGCCGAGGTCAAGAAAGAGAGGAGCTATACCTCCGCTCACCCCAAGCGCCTGTATGGCACGTAGCGGGACAAACTTTACTTTACTGAAGATGTCCCCCCGAAACCCGCATTATACTGAGATTCCACTGTATTTGGTTTTATGTAAATTCGCTTTGAGGCCCTTGTCACTGTGGCATTTATCTGTTTGGTATATAGCTTTCTGTAAATGATGCTGTAGCAGTGTTACTTTCAGTCATCAGTATCAGGACTGTGATGCCACCCACTGCCATTGCATGTGTTGTCACCTATGAACAGATTAAATCTAATACCACAACCTTGTCTCACACCCATTGTTTCGTCAGTTAAGTCAGTCTCTCAGTATCTCTCACAGATTCCATCATTCTTAGACATAATACTAATACAGTTTATAATTTTTGTTAAAATAAAATTGTCACTCTGCCTCATATTGGAATAGGTACAACTTACATGTGTTGAAATATATATAATATGTCTTTGAACATACTTCATTGTGTTCGGTTTCGTATGAAACGTGCTGGTCATCAATTCAACTTTATTTTGTGACTGTGTCATTGTTGTCATAACAGAGAATGCTGTTTGTGAATTCTGTGTTTCTAGTTCTCTTTTGCATGAAGTTGTTTAAATTTTTATGGGTTTGCAAATAAAATTATCACTGTATATGGCCTGTATTTTGTGCTAAATATATTCAGGATTTTAATCTTCATCTTCCAAAAATCAAATAATGCTGTATGATTTATTACATGATCCCACATGCATTGCTACTTCATAACCGTGATATCATATATATCATTACTAGCTGATGTTTGTGTCAGTCATAGTGCTTGCTCTGGGTTGTAGGACATGATCAGAAAATAAAATAAACAAAATTTGACTTGAAATCTTGTTAAATTAATAAATATGATAAAAAGCCAGCCACAGATATTTTGTTGTTTGGCCATTAAGTGAAGAGTAAACACTCTTCAAGTGTTGAACATGAGGACATTTGTTCAGAAACGTCATCACATTGTGTTTTATTCCATAATGAGGATAGTTTGAACAAGTTTGTAGTGTCTGTATCAGAAGATGGCTGTTTTTTTTGGGTTGTAGTACCATGTAGTCTGATAGACGTTTGCCAGTGTTTCAGAGGTCCTTTCTGCCTCCATCATCAGAGCAATCAGGTTTTCACTGTATACACTGCAATATGTTACAGTATACATTGTCAGAAGAAAATAGTTTTGATGAAGCTGATGGTACTGAAGGAAGTGAAGACATAGAATTAAATAATATGGAAGAGTCAGAAGGAGATGATGATGATGATGATGATATTGGCGATTATGTAAGTGAAGATAATGAGAATGGGGAAGATGCAGATGTAAAAGAGGAGGATAAGAGTGATGGTGTTAGTGGAATGAAGGAGGGAAATAAACCAGTGAAGAAGAAACATGTGGAGGTAAGTTAAATTTAGCAACTGAAATTAATTAAAATAAAGTATGCCACATACATTGCAGAAATTTTGCTGCATCTTGGTGTGTGTCTGTTAAATAGAAGAAAGAAAAATTCCAGTGTTTTGGCATATTTCATAGATCATTTTATTTGAAATATAATTCTATATAAATAAGCCAAATTTAATCAAAACTGTTAGGGTTATTCATATAATCTGTAATTGTTAAGGTATTGTATTCATATTTGCGCTTCACTGTGTATCCTGTAAGTGGTTATAAATAAATGAATGGATTGGGGGGAGGGGGGGTACGTGAGTAGATTGGCATATTGTAGTACAAAAACAGTTTTTCCAGGTTCCTAGAACTGCAAGATTCTTTAAATTTTTGCAATGGCAGTACCATCTCAGATGATATTAACCTCAAATCTTACAAGAAATAATTTTCTTGTGAGATTTGAGGTTCTTTTGGTGGTGAAGAAGTCGTTGTTCTGGGTTGTGGTACGAACTGTACTCACAGGTAGATTCCAGTTCTTCTTGACACCTTTATGTATTTCATACATTTCTTCCCATTCATTATTTATTGTCATTAGAGGTTTTTAAACAAATGTGTGTAGCACAGAACAGTAGAAATATTCAAGATAGTATTTTGTTTATTAATAAATTATTTTCTGAAATTCATGTGACTTCTGTAAATTCTAATTACAAGTTTGAAAATGAAATTTAAAACATATTTACATTGTAAAAGGTAAACTTTCTCATTGTACCTAAGCACTATCCATTGAAGATGTAAGGAGTATATGGTGGATGTAGGTGATGTGGTGGCAAAGAGAAAAATTCCTGACTTGTCCATCCCATAGTCAGTCATATTACTAACTGAGCTATTCCAGATCTCTGAACTTGGTGAAATATGTGCATGTTAATTACTTTTAATCTGTTTGTCATTTAAATTTGTAGGATGAAAATGAAGGTGCAAAGAAAAAGCAGAAGGTTAAGTCAGCAGATACTAATCTGTATAGACCCCCAACTGTGAAGGAGTTGAATCAACTCAGAGAGACAGAGAACTTGTTTCACTCAAATCTTTTTAGATTACAGGTATGTTTATAGTTTATTATTTATAAGTATTGTTGTGTATAAATGCAATGAAACTCAGTAACAGTTGCAAAGTACTTATGATTACATTTTGAAAATGCCTGCTTTTTTGTAAGAAGCACAGGGAAATGTTTTCAATATAGGAAAGGTTGTTAACATTTTCACAACATATGTTTTATTTGATAATTTGTCGTTTAGAATTTATTTTGCATTGTAGGCTGACATAGCAGAAATGTGCTTGATTTTATACTTGCCTGATTATTTTGACTTCCTCCCTCCCCCAGGTCTTCTGAAGGAATTTGAGTGCCATCCAGCATACAGCCAGTCACTTTACTAACAGAATTGCCACAACTTACTTGAATTTTGTTATCTTCTTAATCTTGAACCGTTTAAATTATGTGCTTGATTGCAATAAAAGTTATTTCTGCTACTTTGTTAATGAATAATTAATTTAAATTTCTTTGCTTGGTGTCTAGTCTTCTGTTATTTAATTTATCTCAATATTTGTGATTTCAGATAGGGGAAATGCTGAAGGAAATCAATATAAGAGCCAGGTACAAAACTCTGTTTCACCATTGGGTGGAAGATTTTAAGAAAGCTCTCGGAAACATTGCTGATTCCAAAGAATATGATGTAGGTACACCATGTAATAGCTGATAATATAGAAAAAAAAATTTCTTTGCCTAGAACTTGCCATTGTGCCATGTATAAGGGGCATAATGCTCCAGTTTGCTAAAATCTTTCTGAGCAGGTTGTGTAGCAGTAATACTAATTACTAATCCTAATTCTTAACCTTGGCAGTAGATGCAGGTGAGTTGTTAGTTGGTATCTTTCAACCCTTTGAAAGAAGCCCAATATGCTCTGTATAGAATGTTGGGTGCATCCCATTGCCATTATGTATATTAGTGAAGACGTTCCAGCACCCCTTCTAGGATTTAAATCCGAGCCACCCAGTTCTTAGTCTATTACTTTACTGACCTATTATGGTGCAGTGGATGCTGAAGCAACCCAGGGAATTTGTTTTTGACAGGCTACAGCTTCAGTCGGATGCCTGCCTCAATACCAATTGGAACTATTGTTAACAGCCTTTACTCCCATGCCCAGAGAATTCCCTCAATGGATTACATGGAAACAAGCCTAATATATTTGTTGTTTCTGTAGATAATGGATCGAAAATGGCTGAACAAATTGAAGGTGAAAATTCCAATACACTACCTGCCTCGAGTAACAGGAGTCTTTAAGTTCATGAAACCAACATCAGTTTCAGTGGTTGGATCATTTGGAGCAGGTTGTTGTCTTGGACCTGATATCAAGATTGATGTACGAATTGAAATGCCACAGGTAATGAATGTGTAATAGTATATAAAATTTAACTCTTTCACTGTTACACTGGATTATCTCAACATAGTTTGGTGTTCCTCAGAGCTATATGTGTATTCATATTAAAATGAGAATCGCATGCTTTTGTATACTTTAAGGATTTTAAGCTACAAGCAATATAATGTAATGTAAGTAAATGGGGTGGGCATCAAAGCGACCCTTACATTATGACCATTTATTCTCAAGTAGAGGGGTATTCAGATCTTTATTGTGTCCTTCAAAACCAGTGGCAGTAGATCAAATTTATATTGTGCTTGAGGTATTTATATGCTAATGTGGATATTGGCTCTGTTTAGAGTGTTTAGTGGACTGCCATACCAAGCTGACTCACATTCTCTTGTGTTATAAATATTACATGTCTTACCTAAAAGAATTTTTAGCAAAATGTTGATTTTTCAGTCACTGTATTTAGTCAAGGAATGTATTTCTGTGAATTAATGTCCAGTTTTCTCCATTCTCAGGTTATTTATATTTATTGATATTTACTTGAATTCCCACCACTGACAGTGTAAAGAATAAATTTTGATGGACCTGCAATGCTTAATAAGAAATACAAGTTTTACTTTAACAATTTCCTGTTTCCAGATCTGCTTTGATATGAAGGATTATCTAAATCATAAATACCATATGAAGCGAGCACTGTACCTAGCGTACATTGCTGGAAAATTGCAAGAAATTGAGCTGGTGGAAGAAATGCTCTTTTCACAAAGCTGTGGAAATCCGTTGAAGCCAGTCCTTTTGGTGAAGCCAAAGGGAAAGCTGGGTAAAAGAGTTCTCATTGTAGTGCATGTGTCACCTCCTGTTGGTGTCTTCAAGCTCTCACGTTTATGTCCGGAAAGGAACAATATACGCCCAAATTGGTATTTTGAAGAGAAGGAAATAGTGGAAGAAGGTAAGGAAATTTTAGGTGAGAAATTAGAATTGAAATTATTTCATTTTATCCTGCTTTAACCAACACTTCAGATAAGTTCTGGGTACTTAGGTAGTTGTAGACATGAATAAAATATACATTTTTTACATAGAGGTATATGAGTAATTTGAAAGTGCAAGCCATTTTCAATATTTTTTAAAGCTTAGGCTTGGCTTGAACCTTAAAACTGGGGCTAAGATTTTGAGCCAAAATCTTAATAATTTATTGTGATATTTGTGTTGTAGTCAGTTTTACTTTTATTTGTATTATTTTGTGTGTTCTCTGTATAATACAATGTGAACAACTCACTCTCATAAGCTTTGACTTCTGTTTCTTGTATCAAAATGTGTAGAAAGATGGCTGTCTTCTGGGTTGTAGCCATGTAGTCTGGTTACTGAGGTACTCATCACCCTGATGATGGAGGCAGCAAGGATCTCTGAATTGTTAGTAAACTTCTACCAGACTGCATGGTGCTACAACCCAGAAGACAGCCATCATTGTACTTACTGGTGTGAGGACCTCAAAACCCACTGAATGCATGTACTTGAGAGCATAAAATACAGGAAGTTATGCTACTCGCCATATTTCATGTAGGTAACCAACACAGGGAAACATTTTTATGAGGAAAATTTGGTACTTGTTGGTTATCAGGACACAAAACGGGAGAGTCGTATAGCTGGACTTGGATTGGACGGAAATCTATGCATGCGTATCAGTATACCCATATACTCGGTTCATGTGGCGGCGTACAAACGATAATGCCGATATTTTTAAAACGATTCTAAAATCTGTAAGCGAATTTTGGCCTCCTGAGACAGGTTGTAACAACAATTAACATCTCATGCATATCCAAATAAAATATAATAATTTGTCATTTATTGAAATAAAATATAGTAACTTTCAAGTATATGCCATTTATCCACACACTGTAACCTAACCTATTTTTAAAGTGACGTGTCCCGATAACCCACAAGTACCGAAAATTTTAGCTGTATGGGAATCAAGCTTGGACCTCTAGTTTCATTTTTGTAATTGCTGTATTTTTGGTCTGCATTTCAGAGTCACTCCCACCAACTCCACATTACAACTGTAGTATACTGAAAGATCTTATTCTAGATGCAAATGAGGAATATCGTGCCAGCATTCTGGAAAGTCATCCAAATCTGAAAGATGGAATTTTAATGCTGAGGGTCTGGTTAAAACAAAGAGGACTAGATCAGGTCAGCAGCAGTTTGAATTGGTTTGTTGTGTCTCAGCCATGCAGACAGACAGTGTTCTGATTATTTTGTTGTGTAGAGAGAATATAGCCATCATTGAAACAATTTTTATACCTCACTCGTTTCCATTGTAAGATTATAATACTGTTTACAAAATGAAGTATGTTGTTGTTGTGTTTTTTTTCACACATATTCAGAAGCAGCAAGTAGTATTTCAGGATTATCAAATTATGTAATGCTAAGAAAAAAATTATAAAAAATGGTGTCCCGCTTTCAAAAGGGGGAAGAATACTGGAAAGAATTTATAAGGCTATGTTTTATGATAGAGGTTTGAAGTTTTTGTGGCTATGAAGATGTAAATTGCATTCTTCTTTACTGTGAAACTGTGTATTCTTATAGGTGGCTACCAGTATTTCAAAGGAACATTGCCTCTGTCTTCAGGGTAGAAGTGCAGGTGTTTGCCATTTGTTCAATCTGTGTTATTGGTATACATTTTATATGTTTCTTTTGATATGTTGAATTTTTGTTAGAAAATTTTCTTTAATATTATCATCCAGTGGATGATTTGTCTCTGTGTTCATTTAATGCCACTTTATCAACTGCATAGACTATATAGCATTAAAATAAGAAGAGTGTGGAAGAACATGATTGTGACCTGTTTTAGGGCAGTGTGCTAACATTGCCTGGAGAAAATGAGAAAAGCTATAGGAACAAATTAGGAAAGTTTTTTTGGTGTTCTTTATATGTGATGAAATAGAAGGAGAAATACTTTGTGACTGCATTGTGGTCTCTGTAGTATAATTAGATTTTGCAACAGTGCATTTGTATCTGCAATAAATGAAGATCAAGGCTGTTGTGATATGTAAAATTACAAAGAAATTATGGAAAATGTGAGTTAGTTTGTTGGAGTACACATATCCACTAGTTTTCTTATGGAATAAACTTGACATCAAGCATATGGAACTTATTAATTTTATTACTGTTGACACCTTACTAAATTAACCTCGCTATAAAGAGATCCATAAAATCTTTAGTCACTGTGAATTAAATTATATTTATATAGTAACATAAACCTAAGAATTAGGGATTCTCTAAACAAAAGTTTCCTATACTTTACTTATTTTGACTTCTGTTTGCAGGGTTATGGGTGTTTCAGTGGCTACATCATGTCTATGTATGTTCTGTACTTGCTGCAGTCTCACCGTATTAACAGTGTCATGAGTAGTTACCAGGTTGCAAGGAACACGTGGAATAATTTGGGTGAGTTTGCTCTGTGGTATTTAATTACTTTCGCGAAGTAAACTTCAGAATAGCAATAAAATTAAATGTTCCTGAAACTGTCAAGTTTTGCATATCTTTTTCTCTGTATCAGTGTTGGTCTTCTGGATTGTAATGCTGTGTTGACTTATAGGTATATACCAACATTTTGGAGGAATGTACTTCCTCTACCTTTATGGCTGAAGTCCACGTGGCATTGAAACCCAGAAGACAAGCATTGACATCTTTGCTTCCATGAGAACTTGAATTCTGTTCTTCTATGTGATTTTCTAATACAGAACTCAAAAAATATAATTTGAATCTACTAGTCACTTCCTATTGTTCCCTCATCTGTAGTTTTGCAAAATGCTTCATAATTTTCTTGTTGCTGTGGATATGTAAAAACTCAGTGTTGAATGTTCAAATATGAGGGAAGAAAAGCATTATGTTCTATAATTAGGTTTCTGAATTTTGTACGCGACTAAATGATTTGTTTAGTAAATTATTAATACGTTTGAACAAAGGCTGACATTTTACTTACCATTGTTCCCTTAATTTGCCTGTGATGAGTTGAGAGCCATATTTCTGGAGCCCTGGCCTAATATTTTGGGATCACTTAGTTTTCTTGCAGTGAACAAACATCCACTGTAATTGCCACCAACTGAACTTCCATATTTATAAGACATTATTTTATGTGGTACCAGAGGGGTTGACCAGTTTTCTGAACAGGGAAAGAACACATGATTCTCATGCATTGTCATTATATTTAATTTTGCAAAATTACACTATTTTGTGCAACTCTTATTGGGCTTTAACACATAAAAATGTGTTACACTGCATTGTATAGATGTACATATTAGGTTATGGGAGTGAATGGTCTTTTTGTTTCAGTGCTTTGCTTCCATTCTGTGAATGTTTATAACATTTGGATGTGAATACATGAGATTAGTATTAGGCAAGATTGTTACAAACATCTTCTTGATATGCTTACAAAACTAGAAGAAATAAGACTATTTGAAACTCCTAGGCATGGATGGATGAATAATATGAAAATGGATAAAAACAAAACTATCTGTCTCAGGATAGGGATCAGTGGTGGGATATTATGAACATGGTGAGGAACGTAAGATTTGAGGTTTTCACAGCGGTGAGTATGAAGATTTCTGTCTTCTGGGTTGTTGCGCTGTGTAGTCTGGTCGATGAATTGCCCTGATGACGGAGGCAGTATGACCTCTGAAATGTTGGTTAGCATTGACCAGACTACACAGCGCAACAACCCAGAAGACGGAAATCTTCATGGTGAGGAACCTTTGGGTTCATTGGGGGAAGGGTAGGTTTCTTGACCAGTTGAGCAGCTGTTAGCTTCTCAAGAAGTACTGTGCTTCATGCAGTTACTTCATTTAGTTAAGAAATGATTATGAGAAGGAAGTAGTGCTGACTTTAAATAAACTAACACAGATAATTTGTCCTTATACATTTTGTGAGCATTTTATTTGTAACTTTATTTCTAGCAAAAAGTAACTGGACCACAGATGGCATCAGTCTAGCACAGTCATTTCCCCAGCAGTCTATTTCTGATTTCCATCAGTATTTTGAGGTTGTGTTTCTTGATGTGACTGGCACCTGCAATTTTTGTGCTGAGATGAGCAAGGAGGTTTTCCTTTGGGTATGTATTACAATTGTCTGTGTTAAACAGTAAAGTTCAATTATTCAGGAGTTTAGGAGATACCTGCCATCTTCCCTTCCATGGGTGATGAAGAAAATAGCAGGCTTCACTGAATTATTGGTAGTATTTTGGTTTCTTGACACAGCACCGTAACCTGAAAGTTATGTGATAAGCAGTGGTCACCTTGAAAATCTCAGATGTCAGTTAAGATCATGTCATGATCTTGTTTGCACTCACATGTTTCTTTCCCAGTGACAGTCATACTCTTCTAAAAATCTAGAAATCTTACTGGTGTTTATTTTTCAGGTAAAACAGGAGTGTGACTTGGCAGTGAAATGTTTGGATAATCCAAATATTAATAGCTTTCAGGCTCTTTTCATGACTTCCATGCCATTCTATCGCCAATTTGACCACATTATCAGGTATGCTGTATGATATTTTAAAGTGATCCTATTACAGAAACAGTTCTTCAATGATTATTTTATTGCTTGTCATGAAGTGGTCTTGTGGGATCATCTCGTAAGGCGAATAACTGTAACTTACTTGAATGTAGAATGAGACCATGTAGACCTCCCAATTGTGGAAGATTAGAGATGATCAAAATAAACATCTATGTGGTAGGCTTCAATCATTTGACTACACAAAAACTCTATCTTTTTAATAATCATGTTCACACCATGCTTCTGAAATACGTATAAAATGGTGAGCAGCTAGAGTGTCAAGTCCTTGTTCTGTCTTACCTGCTTTGTGGCATGCAGTTTTCTTGATGTACTTCCTTCTGTGTACACAGTTGTCCTATTCCTGCAGGGTATAATATTTGTAGCCTTCGGAGACATCGATAAACAATGTAAATTCTGGGTCCAATTTGAATTGCCTTTGTATGTGCTATACATAATGCTAAAAGAACAACAGTAACTCACTATTAATTTTTATTAAATTTTTCCATAGGATACAGGATTTGTCAATGATTAATAAGGTAGTGGAAGAGTACAGTCCTCGAATGCAGAAAATGAATTATACAGGTCACAGGTATCCACAGGCATTGAGATTAATACTTGAAGTACTGAGAAGAGGCTTGGGTCAACGAGTGAAACACATTGGTATCATGTTACCCAATGCAAAGAGCTGGCCACTAACGGATTTTCCACCATCATTGAATGTAGTAATAACATTGGGTTTAACCTTGGACCCTGAGTTTGCTTTTAGTGTTCTGGAAAAGGGACCAGGGGCAAATTTGCCAGAGGTATGTACTGTTCTTGCCACTTAATTTAATCAGCTATTTATTACATATAAAACTTTCAGATTTTATTCTTCTAAATCCTACTCATCTTTCTCAAAATCTTGTGGTTGACCTCATTTATCCTAGTATTATTTGTTCATTTTTAGTTTTTCCAATTGTGTTATAAAATTTTAATCTATATGTGTTTCTTGGTTTTCTGATGTGTTACTGGAAGTAATCTGAATGAATTACAGATCGTTTGAAAGCAAGGACTAAGATAAAAGATCATCGCTTAGAAGATATGATGGCAAGCGAAAAATAATAAATACAATATAATTTATATTGAATTATTAATAATTTTTGGTGCCTTTTCTGTTAAGGCATTTGAATTCCGAAAATTCTGGGGGAAAAAGTCAGAAGTTCGGCGATTTCAAGATGGAAGTATATCAGAATCGGTTGTGTGGAGTAATGGTTCAGCAACGTTGGCTCAGAAACGGATGATATGTCGCCATGTAGTCACTTACCTTTTGAATGAAAAATTTGGCTTTCGAACTAACAGGGGGATCATGTATGTGGCAGATCAACTGGATGCATTGATACAACGCTACATGGTAAGACATTTCTCTAGCATCATATTTTAATTTCATGGTTCTTAAAGGCTTGTGTGTTGCAAGTTAGGAGGACATGTGATGTAAGAATTGGTCAACATTTAGTTAGTTTCATGTTTTGTAACCTCATTGTAATTAAGATGAAAGAAGTCATTTTAAAGTATATTGGGCAATTCATACACAGAAGTCACACAAGTAATAACATGTTGCACTTTCTCAACTTGTTTAGCCATTGTGTTTGTGTTCTATTATCAGTGGTGTTTTCATAACTTGAATCACTTGTATATGTTACTGTCTCACTTGAGAGCTTGGTAGCTTGGTCAGTATCATGATTATACTTTACTTTCTGTCACTTTCTTTGTTCCGGCGGCAAGATATAGTTTTATCCCGAACTAGAGTCAGTGAGGAACAAGGATCACCTCAGGGATTTTTTATAAATAAACAAATTAGGAACAACAAATTGAAGAAAAACACAGAATACTTTTACTTTTGAAATTTGGATCCTCTCATACAAAACTTCCCATAACAGGTACAAAAGTTTTGTTTACTGGCTGAAAGCCCGCTGTCGACTGTCTCCACTCGAGTATTGCACGTGTTCTTGACCTAACTTCCAGATCCCTTGCTAGTGTGGGAACCTCCACACATGACTTGCTAGCATAGGATCTTTCACACGTGATTTGCTGGCCAGTCCAAAGTTTTAATTCCAACAGTTACAGGGGTTCTGGACTGGTATAGTATCATGACTGTGCTACAGGCTGAATGACCTGGGTTTTGATTCCTGGCAGTAGGTAGAGCCCAGTACTCACCTCCATATAGTACTAAGATAAAGAATGATTAAAGCTATTTATTTATTTAGCTTTTTGGAAACGGACATATACTTGCTGTTGTTCTGCTTGTAGAGACTTCTGTCTAGCTATGGAATGAATGAGTCAGGAGTTTACTTGAGATACTTTGTAACAAAGCTTATATAACTGGCTTTTCATGATTTTGTTCTGTTTGCATGTGTGTGTGTGTGTCTGTGTACAGTTACCTCCAGCTGATTTTGACTATGGGACAGGCGAAGAAGCAACGGTACGAGTTATTAGTGCTGTAGATAGTCTTGGGAAGCAGTTGCGACAGTTAAAAGACATTCCTCTGGAAGTGAGTGCAGTTCAAGGAACGTCACCAGTGTTCCGCTACTGTGATGTATTCCCACCTCTTTCATCATTATGGAAAATAACTAAACAACAGGGGACAGAAGGAAGGAACTATTTCCTGAAGATAGATGGTGAGCCAGCTATAGCCCCACGCTGGATTCCGTTTGTTGATGGTAGGTAATAAATTAACATCTTAGTAGCCTTTTTAAAGTCTTCTACACAGACATTTTGAAATATTGTTAGTTCCTCTTGTAGTGGTAGTTAGTTACTGAGTTATTTGTTTATTTTTTAGTCAGGTCTCTCAAAGTAGGATTTGGGGTTATCATAGCCCTGATTATGGAGGTAGGAAGGACCTCTGAAACATTGGTAAACTTCTAGGTTTCAAAAAATACAATCTTAGCATCAGCATACATATTTTTAAATATAGAGTCAGGTTCTGTATCTGGCAACCCAAATGCTGTAAGGACCTAAAATCTGTATTTTTTCCAGTGATTTTAGGGGGGCATTTTTCTATGTTCGTTATGTTTAAAACTGGTGCTTCATGGTTCTTCGACTCACCACTATGTGGAAGTGGCACCACTGTCAGTGGTTTTCTTACCAATAGTAGAAGGCAGCTTGCATGTTTGCACCTGTTTATTCATTGCTTAGGAAATATTAGAGGGTTTGCCATTTCAGTTTTTATTTAGTATTTACTAGTTTTACTCTTTAAAATGTCTAAAAGGCCAACAGTGAGTTCTGAGGATTGCAGAAATACAAAGAGGAGGCAGAAAATGTAGTTATTGTTGAAGATCCAAAATCAAGAAAGTCTTACTTCCAAGACTTTTTGAATAAGGGGTCCAGGACTGTTAATCGGTGAGAAAGCAAGAAGCACTTAGAGGGCATATTTAAAACATACTTTGGGGGATTATTGGTTAAGATTTATTCTTTTACTACTTCTTCATTACCACAGTAGTTTCATGATTGGGATCCCCCTGATCAATTCTGTATCCAGTAGTGTCAGGCTTGATTAGATTGTTTTAAAGAATAGAAAAGTTTTGGTGAAATTTGAAGTTCTTTAATTCTTCAACAGCAATTATTCAACTGGGATTGAGCGGAAAGTGGCCAGATGATTTATGTGCTGTTCAGAGGATCAAAGCTGCATTCTACATTAAAATTGCAGACAGCATATCAAAACAGTTCAACTTAACAGCTCAGCAATATCCAGATTGTGTTTACATCTTCAAGGTAAGTTTGTACGAGAAATCTAGATGATATGTGGTAAAATCATCCCTTTTGAATCAGAGTAACAGTATATTTATAGTGAGACTTTCACTATTTTCCCTTGGAAATTGTAGAAATGAAGTTTGCCTTGCTGTAAATATGCTTATGTTTTACAATGTATAAGATGCACCCCCAAATTCAAAGAAATGTTAAGGTATAAAATTAAAAATCAAACAAATTGAAATATGTAACCATTTAAAACAGGTTATTCAGTTGCAATAATCATCATCATACTAAAAAATGAATATGAACCATAATTAACTGACTGTTGCTGATTCTGGGTTCACCTGCTCTGGCAAGGATGACAATCTTCTCTGTATGACATGCACAGTGTTTTTGAGGCATATTTTGAAGGTGAAAAAGTGTGACTATACACTGGAAATTGATTTTGTTAAAATAACCATTGATCATCCTGTGATTTCTGAAAGCAGTGAAGGTAGTTTGTTTGTCTATTTACTTTCTGATTTCTTTCACCAGTTATTTTACTGTCACTTAAGTTTATCATGAAGCAAATATATACTGATAACTCATTAGCTACTGTTTGTTTTGCTTCTGGATATATTATGTAGGGTATTTGCAACAAGACTTACGTTTTTGTGTTGTTTGCAGTTTTAAAACAGGTACAAGCAACAAAACATACATGAAATTCCATATTCTTTTACAGAGAGACTGATAATGCATGCAAAACTGCATGGTCACGTAGTTCAACAGAAATTTTTAGGTGGAACAAATTGTGCCTTTGCAGGATAAATTTTCCAAACTATGCAAAGAAGGTAACAGTGCATGCAATATACTGCTGTAAACGGTTACAGGGTTAAGTCAAATATAATGAAAGGGCGGATTGGAATTAGAGTTGACAAACAGATAAAGAGACTGTGGATAATGGCTGGATAGGACAGGGAAAGGCCTGTGTTGTGCAATGGAAATTGAGAATGTAGCACATTTGCTGCTGTGTATTGTAGATATTATACTATAACCTTTTTGAACTCTCCTAAATCAGTAAGATTTTCACCACTTCTCACATTTTCACAGTTTACAGAATTGTCATAAGAATCAGAAACAGTCATTTTATTATATAAACCATCACATACGCAAGCTTTACAAATCAGTCTTTTAGCAAGTACAGCAGCATTGTGTTCCTTCTTACTTACCATGTTTGTAAATAACAAATCACTTGTAAAATGTGATTAGCATAGCTGGAAAGGAAGCATTCTTTCTTTAAACTGTTTAGTACTGATATGTTGTAATATGTTGTGATCTGTGGAAGTTTGAGTGCATTTAAGAGACATTGCTTGGAGAAATTTATGACTTTGTGAGCACTGACATGAATATACCCATTGAAATGTGTGACATTGGTAACAGAATTGTAAGTTTTTTTTATTGCAATGAGTGTGTTAATATTGAAAGATTAATATCTGGTTTATTTTCAAGTATGATGTGTGCTTATAGGATGGGTTTGTGTTTCGTCTGCATGTGGCACATCAGCATGAAATATATCTCCTTAAAAAGACAACCACTCCAGAGGGAGTGACCAAGTACAGAGACACAGAAGAATCACTTGATCTGGAGAAGAGAATTGTTCACCTTCCAAAACTCACCAGTGCTTTGCATGGGTCAGTAGTACAGCAGATTCTAATAAACAGATATTTGTTTGCATGTTATAAGCCTTCAAGCAAAATCAAACATAGCTAGAAATAATTTGGATATAATATGGATCTTCACAAGAATCACATACCACTCTACTGGAGGTAGATAGTCATTTTGTATCCACAAGCAAATCTTATAACAAGAAAGTTATCAACTTCACTGCACAGCATTATTTTGACTGACCAGGGTTTGAACATATCTGATACTGGGTGTCCATTTGGGTATTTATTGGCCATATTAAGTTTTTGTAGTTTTCTCTCCATTTGGTTTTTCCTTTTATACTCCTTATAATTGTAATTTCTGCTATGATTTTCCTGTGTCCAAGTTTCTGTTCAATATGGACATGCGAATTATAAGATAAAGTTTGAACATTAACTGCGTAGTTTCTGACCAGAACTTTGGAATTATCATTGTAACAGCCTAGTTATCTGTTCTTATACTTATGCCTCATGATCATGATTTTTGTATGTGTGTCAGTCACTGAATTATAGATTCCTCTCAATCATGACATAACCATGAAGACTAGTGTTTCATAGAGCTTAAAATCACATAAACCTAGCTTTTACCTTGGTTCCATACATCCGTGGCTCAGAACTCATTGCTGTGAAGGGGTATCCCTGACTACTTCATAAACAGTGCCCGAATGGGCAATACCCATAATCCATATGATGTGGCATTATTCGTGAAGCGAAAAATTTGTGTGTGAAAAGAACAAATTTGATTCACAGTGATAAAAGAAGACCAACCCTTTTGAATTGCTGTAACATGGTCATTGAGTGTATTTGTTTCAATGTTTGGATACTTGTTGCATATCTAACAGCTGTCTTTTGTTTGTTACAGATTGCACCAACAATACCCATCGTATGGTCCCACTTGTTGCCTGGCAAAGCGGTGGCTGTCGGCACAGTTGTTGGATCCATATCATTTCCCAGAAATGTGTGTTGAGTTGTTGGTTGCATCCCTTTATCTGATGCCTGAACCATACCAACCACCAAATCAGCCGCAGCTTGGGTTCTTCAGGTTTCTACACCTTCTGGCTTCCACGAACTGGAATACTGAATGTGTCATTCTCAATCTAAATGCTGAAATGACAAGTGAGTACTTACCTGATGTTGGATCTGTCATGTTACTGTATTTGTGATGAAATATTTTGTGATAGTGGTTTTTGTCGTAGGTAGAAAAGATGTTTGTAACAGAACAAAAGTTTAATTTCATGAATTGAGCACACAAAGCTTTTAACCTCCGAAGTCAATGCTTGTCTAAATAATATTTAAGAATTCAGTCCATACTGCAAATAAAACACAATACATCACGTAAGATTTGAGGTTTTCACAGCGGTGAGTATGAAAATTTCTGTCTTCTGGATTGTTGCTCTGTGTAGTCTGATAGATGTTAACCAACGTTTCAGAGGTCATACTGCCTCTGTCGCCCTGATGATGGAGGCAGTATGACCTCTGAAACGTTGGTTAACATCGACCATACTACACAACGCAACAACCCAGAAGATAGAAATCTTCACAATACATCACCATTACAAAGATTAGCTGGTTAATGCTGTTTGAGAAAGTAATTGCTGTTCTAAATTGAGAATGACACGAAGCAAACTAAAACAAAATGCATAGTTACTGTTTGTTGAAGTAGCTCGTACATGTAGTTACCATTGAGCTTTAAAGAGTTAAAGACAGAGTTTGTAAGAAGGCGTTGTTGAAATTATATTTAGTCATCCATTTTAAATAAATTTTACTTACCATGTTTGTTATTGTATGTGTCAATATATTATATGCCTTGTTTTCAAAGTGATACAAAAGAAATTGTGAAGTATATATGAAAGATACCTTACAATAAATTAATGAAGAGAAAACCTTGGTAGCATGAAGTAGACCAGTTACATTCATCTAGTGCTTGGGTTAAAATGTGTGCAGGTTTATGTCCATGCTCCTTGTATATTGTCATGGAATTATGTTTGTTACAGGATAAATTTAACTTTGCTATTTTGTAGCTTCAGTTATCTTAACCCACTCGTGATCATTATGCATATTCCTGTGTCTGTGTTATTGTGAGGCTTGTTATGGGGGAGCTGGTTTTTGGTTAGACCTGAAAAAATTTCCGTGCCTCTTCTGTGGTACATAAAAGAGAAATAATTACATCTGTAGTTTATCTTTTGATATATTTTAAACTATAATTAAAAACTTTTACCACCAGATAACACTTTGTTTAAAGAATGCAGTTTGCTGCAGCTCTGAGATTGTGATGCTGAAACTGTATTGAAATCCCACAAACATTTGAACGCCCACCATTTTCTGTAAAATACTGGTACAGGAGTGTCATCTTTGAATTAAAAACCTACTGATGAAGGAGTTAATGACTGGTTCTTTTTACTTGTTGTCCATTTTAAATATTTTTGTATTATTCATATTATATTCCTCCTTTTTTCAGGGGAAGATATCCTAGAAATTGAAACGTGGTTCCACAATTGTCGTACTACATTGCCTGCCTTGTTCCTGTCAACACCATATGACAGGAAGAACTCCATATGGACAAAGGAAGCTCCTTCACTGCAGATTCTTATCCGTGTGGCTCTGCTTGCTGGAGAGGCTCTCAGAGTTATAGAACGTCTGCTCTTCTTACCCATTAAATCTGACTGGAAGGTTAGTTTGCTCTGGTGTATGTTAACTCTCACTGGGTTCTTTCTGCAGTAACTGTTGTGCATTGTGTTTGTGCTTGCAATGTAGTTCTTTATTCATACATCAGTCACAGGAAAACTAGACCAGTTATCATTTGGAAACCAATTACAACCATTGCTTTGTTTCTCACACATCTTTCTGCCACAATCTTGTTAGTACCACTCATTTCAACTCCCAGTGTGTTTTAGTTTTATTTTATTGATAAATCCACATTAATACATACTGTATTTGCTCGTGTATAAGATGAAATAGGAAGTAAGATAATTCTTCACTTCCAAGAGAAAATGTTTAAGGATTTTATTGCTTGTACAGATAAAATTCTGTGGTTAAAACCTACTTTAGCTCAGTACTTGTATCTAACAATACTTGCATAACATAGGGTGGCAACTGAATTGAACTGAACTTTCATTTGTAATGTTAACGTGAGTGACGATATTTTAATTTAATAGTTGTTATAGACTAAAGTGTGTTCCATATGCTAAACTTTATGTGATACTGTGTATCCTAGGAGGGTTTGGTTTTCTCCATTTTGTTTACTTTCTATATCAACTTTTGTATGGGATAAGAGGATAGTGAATTGTGATTTTGAAAGGATGTAGAAGGAACAATGATGTTTGGTAAAAAGTTGTTTTTGGTGCGAATTTGGCGTTAGGAGACAGGCGACTGCAGGTTCACTGGTGTCACAGAATAATTTAATCTAATTTCTGTTTGGTTTTGTTGTTACAGCAAATTTTTCGACCACCTCTAGAGGCTTATGATGTGCTGATACATTTGCTCCCCAAGCTGAATTCACGGTGCTTAGAAGCAGTAGATGTGAAGCATGAGTGGTCAAATCATCGGCTACGAGCTTACCACAAAGAGCCTTGCGAAAAGATTCCAATTACAGGGTTCAATCCTGTTGATTGCTTTCTAGCAGAGCTAAGGGTAAGCATACTAAGTCATTAAAAAATGAATTTAATTTTCATGTTGCGCCATTTAATGTCAAGAGCTTTATTGGCTGGCTGCTACTGTTTTACAAGTGCCCCATGGAAGGGATTGGATTGGATCATGAGAGTTGGTCCTTGTCAATTGTTTAGTATGTCCTTATGCTTTTCCTTTAAAATAAAATATTATAAATAGAGACTCTGTTCTTGTGAAGTACAATGGAATCTATTTGTTTGTTGTATTCGATTTTTGTTATGTTTCTGTCAAATGAGGTAACTCATTTGATATTCTTTCATATAAGGTTTTCCTCATTTTAGCGTTCAGATTTCACTCTGTCGACTTTGAAGTTCTGTTGTCCCTCAAGAAATATTATGCTCAAATTTTACTGTAATGGTATGCTTTCATACCCAGCAAAGATAAGTTATGGCATCTGTACTTGTAAATAAATATAGGCATTCATATTTCATATTTCAGAATGTTTTAGGACATAGTATTCTGCATTTAAAATATTAATTGTGTATTGTTTGTTCTCTTACAGGAGAACTATAGTGACTATGCACTGTTTTTCTGTGACATTTATGGGGGTAATTTCATTGCTGTACTTTGGAAACCATCAGCACTATTGCCGAAGGATTTTAAAGTAAGTAAATACCACACCTATCAGCTCAGCATGTGTCCACCACCAGAATGTTTTCCCAGATCCTGCGTTGAAGTAATCCAAACTTGATGATACTGGTGTTGTCAAAATTTCCAGTTTTACAGAAAATTGGTGTACATGATTTATTTAAAAATGATAATATTGTGATGCTGCATTTGCCAAGAATAAATAATCCAGTCTCTAGAAACTTTAATTGAAACAAGAAATTCAACATTCTGTTATACAGTTTCTTTTTGCTAAACTTTGTCATACCCTCATGTCAGTACTGTGGCATGTCCAGCTTGTAGAAAAGGCTGTTGCTATTTTTGTAATGTTGGTGCAGTGGGTAACAGTATAATGTTTAACCATCCAGTACTTTATAGACAAGTGACGTGCATGTTATGGCCAGCATGCAAACACATTTCGAAACAGCTGCTATCCTACTTATGTTTTCCTTGTGATTTTTGCTTTTACTGTTCCTAGCCCCTAAGAAAAATATTACTGGCAAACAGACATGGTCAGTCCTATAAAGTGTTCTTTGGGTGTTGTTTGCCCATGCTAGAGCATGAAGAATACCTAAAAATTAAAACAGTTAATTTTTACAGTTGACTCTCTTGAGATGAGCATTCCCAGGCTGTAATTTGCATCTGTTTCTGGAATAATTCATACAAATGTTAAACATTGCAAGATATGTATTCTTTTTTCTGTTGACAGACTCAACATTTCATTTTTTAATTTTTTAATTTTAGGTGTCACATATAAACTGTCACAAACCTTCCAAGGATGGTTCAAAGGTTGAGTTGAATGTTGATGCAATTGTAGAAGATTTTTACATCTTAGGAAAGGGAGTCATTTCAACAATTGATGTGAAGTCTGGCAGTCCATTGTAAGGAATATAATCCTGAATGAGATGAGAACATGGATTTCATCAAAACTCAACACTACGCATTTACATTCTGTCTTCTTCTTCCTGTGATGTGACTTTTTTCCCTCTCTCTCCCCCAGTCATACAAAGCCCCCTCCCAAGGCTTTATACTGTGTTGAGAGCAGTTTCCTGTTCAATCAACTGCCAGTTTGCTGGACCTGTTGCAGCTTCACCAGAGCCCCATCTGCCATCGTTTCAGGGTTCCTGCCCCAACTCCTGCAGCAAGAATGGTGGGGTTGGCCTTTGAGAGAGTGCATTCTCTCTATATATTCAAATGTTAACTTCACTGCCTTATGTTAGTGTGGTTTTGTGGCGACCATTACTTTAATCTTAAAATGAAAAACTAGTGAATAATTCAGTGGGTCATGTAAGATTTTGTGTTTGTAACAAAAATAATGCTGTGTAAGATTTGAGGTTTTCACAGAATATGAAGTCATACTGCCTCCTTCATCAGGGCGATGAATCGCAGTATGACCTCTGAAACGTTGGTTAACATCTATCAGACTACACAGCGCAACAACCCAGAAGACAGAAATCTTCTGGTTCTGTCTCACTTTCAACTTGAACTCGTAATTAGGTGATAAGTACCAATCAGATAATTCTGTGATATTTATTTTGAAAGCTTAATTTTATAGTAGTGAGGGTCCGCAGTGGCCGCGCGGGTTGAGGCGTGGGTCTTGTGCCTCTTGGTCGCAGGGACTGTGGGTTCGAATCCCACTCAAGCCATGGATGTTTGTCCGTGTTTTTCTGTGTTGTGCTGTCCTGTGTACAGGTAGAGGCCTTGCGACGGGCCGATCCCTCGTCCAAGGAGTCCTACCAAATGTCCATAGATCAAGCCAACTGAAA